CTCGTGGATCTCGGCCACGCACATGTGTTTCCGCACGCCCATCATCTCCAGGCGGTGGCCCATGCTGTGCCGTTGGTTGCGCAGCTTGCGCATCGACGGCGGCACATTGGCATCGTCGTCGTCGCCGTCGTCGCCGCCGCCTATAAGACGCTGACCACGCGCATTGTGGCGACCATGCTTGGCTTGGTGGCTGTCGGACTTTTCAGGCAGCGAGGCCTCGAAGCCCTGGAACAGCGAAAACTCGCTATTGTCCTCGGGAATGTTGGCGAGCAGGTCGTTGGGGATGTAGGCCAGAGCCCGCTGTTGGATCTCGGGGACGGATATGCGCGAGCGCACAATCTCGCGGGGCGTGGTTTGGGCAAAGGAAAAGACTGAGCGCTGCATCAGAGGACGCCTGAGCTCGCGGTGCAGCTCGCCAATGGCGTTTTGGTAGTGCTGGGAGACTCCTTCGGCGCCGATCAAGCTGCCAGCCGTGGCCGTGACTTTTTTGCCAAAAGCTTGCAGATGGCGGGTCTAGCGAGCAATTAGCATCCGATTCACTCTACACATGGAAATTGCGGTGGGGCTACATCTGGAAGAGAGTCGATGAAGCTTCCTTCGTCATCGTTGTCGTAGCGCTGCTGCTGGGAAAAGCGCGGTGGCCGTGGGCTGGTGGACCTGCCGCGCCCTGGTGATCCATTGCGGGCGGTTGACGAGGCCATGCGGGCAGCGGGCAGAGGGCAGAGTCGAGGGGCAGAACAGTGCACTCAAGTTACGAGGTCGACTCTTCTTAGCTCATCTTCTTATCTTTGCATCGTGCACAAAAAATAGAGACGTCACGAGACGATGAGGTACAATGGGGTGCTTGGTGCCTGGTGCTGGTACTGGTGCTGGTACTGGTACTGGTAGACACGGTCTTTGGTGTTGTTCGGTGCATGAATGTGGACCGCAAGCCATTGGCACCCGCCTGCGTCATCCGCCCCCAAGCTCAACGCCGAAGGTCGGGAGTGCTAGTTACTGGGGACGGCCATGCTGACTGCGGCCAACACCATCTGCCAAAATGTCAAACAACACCCAACCCAGAATTATTCTCGCACTCTCACATTTCTATACAAACCATGGACGCCGCCATTGATCTCTCCGACGCCTCAAAGGCCCTCGACTTGGCCAACATTCGCTTCCAACTCATGTATCACGCCCTTCACTTGTGCGCACGACCCAAGATGCCCAGCTAACCACTAGCAGCCGCCTAGAGGATACAATCACCTTTCACCTGATCGAGCGCGTGCAGTTTCCCCTCAACCAGACCATTTACGTGCCCGGCGGTGTCGATATTGGCGAGCCCGACGTCAGTCTGTTCGAGTGGATGCTGCGTGAGCAGGAGCGACTGCAGTCACTCGTTCGCCGCTACCAGTCGCCCGACGAGTACCCCTTCTTCCCCCACGTACTCCAGACGCCCATCCTCAAACCCCTCCACTACCCGCAAATATTGCATCCCAACAATGTCAATGTCAACGCCCAATTAAAAGACTGCTACATCAAGCACATCCTCCCTGCAGCATGTATGCAGACGGACCGTGGGGATAGAGGCGAGTCACAGGAGAACTATGGCTCATCTGCCACGTGCGATGTCATGACCATCCAGGCCTTGTCGCGAAGGATCCACTTTGGCAAGTTCGTCGCCGAGGCAAAGTTCCAGCAAGAGACTGAGCGCTTCGTCAAGTTGATCAAAGAGGAAGACCGCAAGGGTATCGACGAAGCCATTACCAACGCCGCCGTAGAAAAGAAGGTTCTTGAGCGACTGAGATTAAAGGCAAAGACCTATGGCACTGACCCTGATCTGGGCGCCAATGGTTCATCCAAGGTTAATGCCGATGCCGTCGTTGCCATGTACAAGGTACGTTCATTCTGTCTGTGGGTGTATAATGCTGAAACAACTACAGGACTGGGTCATTCCTTTGACAAAGGAAGTCGAGGTAGAATACCTCATGCAACGCCTCAAGGGCACCCAATGGGAGTAGATTTCAACCGTGACAGATCGTCTAGAATGCACCGTTGAGACCCGGAACGACATTTCTCTCAGCTCCGACTTTTGCCACCGCCTCGCAAACTTCCGTCTTTTGGATTGCCGCTATCTCAATGTGTTGTGTGAAATCCGTGTGCTACCACAGGACTGTTGAGTACTCTCTCCAGAGCGTTTGGGCTTTCTCTAGATATCAGCTTGCGAGATATTGTAGAGCGTTGTTACTCTTATAGACTAAGATGGAAAGATAGACATGGTTATGAATAGACATGATGTACCATTCAAGACTATCGTACCATGTGGCTATCGCGCAGTGTGACCTTACCTCTAAACCCTTGTCCTTGACTTGAGCGTTTACACAACAGTCGGGAATGAATACACTAGAACCCCACACTAGAAGATACTGTGGCTTACAGTATCCTTGCCTGTCACTCGCTAAAGATAATTTACGCCTGCGCCGCATTCAAAGATGATTCTAGTCTGTTTACAGTTCCAAAAGATTCGCATCGCTATTCATTAGGTCCTACTCTAGCCAGACAATTGATACGTTAATATTAGTATATTTTTTAGTTAGTTAGCCTGTAGCACCTAAGATTATATACACGACTCCAGTTAGACCAGAATTTCGACAATAACAGCAAAGACGCATTTGGAGAACCACCTTTTTGACCTACAAGACTTCCCCAGCATTTACCGTAAACCACGCGGAATATCCCGTGAGAACTCCTAAACAATTCAGCCCTCATGTACTACTTTAGCGTAATCTTCCCAATATAAACCCTCATAAACGTACGTAGACAAACCAATCTTCCCATTTCTAACCCCCCCCCCCCCCCCCTCCCCAAGTACAACGACACCCGCAACACCCTCGACTTCCAGAAGGCAGAGTAGCCAGGGTACTACTGCTAGATTGTGCTTTACGAGCTCGTCGGCCACATCACCAGAAACACGCTCATCGAGGACGCCAACGGGAACAAAACGTTCAACAGGAAAACCCACCGATTAGTCCCCTGTCGTGGAACCTCTTGTTAAGACTCAGTGTAACCGGAGAAGACGTGGACAGGCGTGTTTTGGCGAGCCGGCAACGATGGTGAAGGAGTGTAGACGGAGCTTGTGCGTGCTGTGTTTTGATGGACGATGGGGGTTGCTGGGGTTATTTGGGCTTGACGGGGGGTCTGAGATTGTGGTTAGAGGACAAGTTGTAGGTGTGATGCGGGCTTGCAGTTAGGAAATATGGACGATGTAGATTGGAGGATTGTAAAATCGAAGATAGGGTACTACGAGGGGTTGGCGGCACGGTTGGAGGGCGAGTATGTGGTGTAGAGGGGAGTTGTGATGGAGGTTGTGATGGAGGGGGAGCCGAGGTAGGTGGTTATGAGGGGGATATGTTCTAAGGTTAGTAAGGGGTGGTGAGTTAAGGAAAGAGTTAGGCTTGTATATAAGGGCGAGCGAGAAGGGATAGGAGTTTAGGGTGTGGCTGCTTTGTAGGGAGGTGGTGGTTTCAAGTAACATTTAAGCTGAACAGCAGTGCAAAAAATACATCACACATGTGGCAAAGCGCGAATTCCAAAGACAAAATTAATAACTCCGTGTTCACTATCTGTAGTCCCTTAATCCATAGTCCCTTGATTCGTAACTCGTTGCAATAGCCCCCACTTGACAGGTCGTGGTTCTAGTGGGATACAGAGTACCTCCTGAATGGTAAGGTATTTAGTCGACCTTGAGCTTCTGAGGCTCACGCTTGTCAACCTTGAGCTTTTGAGGCTCGCGCTTGTCAACCTTGAGCTTCTGGGGCTCGCGCTTGTCGAACTTCAACTTCTGGGGCTCAGCCTCAGGCTCACGTTTGTCGACCTTGAGCTTTTGCGGCTCAGCCTCGGGCTCCCGCTTGTCGACCTTCAACTTCTGGGGTTCAGGCTCGCGCTTGTCGACCTTGAGCTTCTGTGGCTCAGCCTCGGGCTCCCGCTTATCGACCTTGAGCTTTTGGGGCTCGCGCTTGTCAACCTTCAACTTCTGGGGCTCGCGCTTATCGACTTTGAGCTTCTGAGGCTCTGGGTCACGCTTGTCAACCTTCAGCTTCTGGGGCTCACGCTTGTCGACCTTCAGTTTCTGAGGCTCACGCTTATCAACCTTCAATTTCTGAGGCTCTGGGTCGCGCTTGTCGACTTTAAGCTTCTGAGGCTCCCGTTTGTCGACCTTGAGCTTCTGAGGTTCGCGCTTATCAACCTTGAGCTTCTGAGGCTCCGCATTGCGGCGCATGAGGCTGTCAAGGCCTTCACGAGGAGCGAGAGCCAAGCCAGCTGTTAATCGTGTTAGAACGGGGCGACTATATTCCAGAGGGCGGGGTGTGAGAATATGGCTTACCTGGGCTGAGCGGGAATGAGACGGCCGAAGTGGCCATGAAGGCCACGGTGATGACGTTGGAAAACCTCATGATGGCGGTGTTTGGTGTTTTGGCGAAGACTGATCTGTATCGCTGAACGGAGAACTGGTTTATGCTGCTGGAGGAAGGCTGAGGACTCAATGGAGCTGATGCTGATTTGAATTCAAGTCACTGGACGAAGATATATAGTACACCTTCCTGACAGCCATTTCGCTGTCAGGATTACTACCGCCTGTCCGATACATTCATGGCATCGTAACATCATCCGGACCGTGTATGGCGGAGGTCTGTTCCTGATGGCGTGTAATGGTACCCGGAAGATTTTGTCGGCGGAATGAAGACGTTAAAGTGATGGGTTCCGAAAGTTAGTCCAGGGGGTCCTGCCTCCGGGATTCCCTCCGGAGTTGCCAAATCGGGTCGGTGCCGGAAACACCGGCGATAGATGATACCGACTACCATTGTCGGCCTGACGAATTCGACTTCGACTACCATGCGTCCAGTTAAAGATATACCTGTAAAGATTTCGCCATGGCAAAGAGAAACGCCTAAACACGTCCAAAACAATGCAGGGAAGTTTTCCTCGACCATCCATGTCCATGGATATGACCGACGTGGAGATGGAAGCGAGCAGTTCAAGAAGCAGCAGAAGCAGCAGTAGCATCAACAGCTCAGATGTCACGCTTGATTATTATGAAGAACGCACACCTTCTATCAGCAGATGGAGACTGCTTGTCCTGACACTACCGAACTTTGGGTGAGCAAGATATCCCCCTAACGTGATCATTTGCATGCAACTGACAAACTTTACCAGCATTCAAGTACTCTGGCTTATCATGATGTCTTACGGCACGCCTTACATGACTACTCTTGGTATACCAAATTCGATCACAACGCTGGTATGGCTCTCAGGACCTGTCAGTGGCGCACTGGTTCAGCCACTATTCGCAGCCCTCTCGGATGGCACACGACATCCATGGGGAAAGCGCAAGCCGTATATCGCTGGTGGTGCCAGCTTCGTTTCACTCTCGCTCCTTGGCCTCGCATGTGCTGAGGATATGTCATCCTGGCTCACAAGCACGTCGTCTTCCCACAAGCACATATATGCAATGGGTCCACCCAAGGCTAGCGCATTGACGAAAATACTTGTCGCATTCTGGGTTTGTGCGCTCAACATTGCCATCCAGCCGCTTCAGAACGGGGTGCGCGCCCTCATTATCGACAGCTGCCCCCCGCACCAGCAGAGTACCGCAGCGGCGTGGAGTGCGCGCTTCAACGGTCTGGGTGCTGTGGCCATTTCGGCGTCCGCTTTTGCTGACGTCGAGGCGTGGGCGCCGGTACTTGGTGAGACCAAGTTCAAGGCGCTGTGCGTGCTGGCGGTACTCGCACTCGGTGCTGCCATTGCACCAGCATGCGCTTTGGTACCGGACGAGCCCAGCAGGGAGGTTGACGCGCGCCATAGAGCAGTGAGTCTGTTTGCACGTCTCTGGAGGACCGCCGGGAATCTTCCACCAGTGACAAGGCAGGTGTGCAAGGTGCAGTCATGCGCCTTCACGGCTTGGTTCTCAGTGTTGTACTACTCCACCACCTACGTCTACCAGACCTTTGTCATCGACCAACACGTCCACCTCGACCCTGACATCTTCGGTGCTGCCGATCCTCGTCTCATCGACATGGGCAAGCATGCGGGAACCCGTGCCTCGCTCGTTTTCGCCTGTGTCACCTTCGCTTCGTCCCTCATTCTACCGCTCATCGCCCGCCATTCAGTGCTCCAGCAAATCTCCGGTCACCACGTGCTGGTAGTGACAGTATGCGGACTTTCGCTTGGCCGTATCTGGTACCTTGCACACTGCCTGTTCGCTGCGTTGATGTTTCTGACTTGTTTCGTCTACACCGTGCCCGCCGCCACTATCATTGTCGGCGCACTTGGCGTTGCCTGGTCCGTCGCGTCATGGGCACCGTACGCGCTGATTAGCACTGAGATTGCCAGTCTGAAGGCTCGAAGGGAGGGGGGAGATGGTTCAACGGAGAAAGATATGGGAAATTGGACGGATGAGACCACGGCAGGTATCATGGCCATTCACAATATGGCCGTTTCCTTGCCGCAGATTGGCGCAGCGCTGGGGTGCACTGTGCTGTTCAAGCTCGTGGAGATTTCAAAGAGGGACGATCCGGCCGCGTTTGCTTTCAAGTTTGCAGGTATTATGGCAGTGGTAGCGGCGTGGATGGGGAGATCTTTGTGGTGATCATGAAAACAGGAACTTGACTGCGTAGAAGCACAGCATAACATTAGTCTAATGAATCTATGAATCTATGAATCTATGAAGCAGGGCAATAGAAGAGCAATTTCAACTCATTTCACCATCCATCTCGACAACGCCCACCAAATCATGGTCTGAGGGAGTGGGAAACAAAGCGGAGACTAAGATGTGCTGGTGTTGGTTTGGCCACATGACTGCTATTACCGGGTCTATTCCGTATTCTTCCTCTAATAGCTACCCTGAGAGCCCTAATTCACGATTCTCCACATAGATCTCAACACGTTGATCTTACTTCACAAATTGGGCCGATAGAGCTCAGCATGCTTAATCCGGCAAAATCGTCCGGTTTCAATTGGAGGCGTTCAAGACATTCTTCTAGGTAATTATATACGAGCTCGATCGGTACTATGACCCCGACCCCTCCAACTACCATCCAACCTACAACTTGTACAACATGGCTCTCATCAACAAGCAGGATAGGAAAGCTCAACCCTTGTGATTACCGATTCCAAGGGTACCGACGTATTCGCCAAAGTGTCCGAGCAGTGCTCAGTATGGTGATATGTCGCCAATGAACTCTCCATCTTCCACCCCCGTTCAATTGCGCGGTGCATCATCTTCCAACCGTATATGCAGTGAAAGACATGGAAGCGGCGATCCGTCCACATCAACTCTGTCGTCTTGCTGATGGCTTCCAGCGACGGAATCTTGGTCCGCTCCTCCGGAAGCGCTTCCGGCCTTGTCGAGTTGCTCAAGTAGAAGTTCCACGGTCCTTCTTCCATGAATTTCGTCGTAAGCTCGCCATCGTAGCACTCCAGTGGCAGCCAGGATACCGTCATGAGGTCGAAGACGCAGCCTGCTGCCTCGGCCTCGGCCGGAGAGCTACCACAAAGCTTTGCGGTGCCAGCTTTGTAGCCAGCGGATGCTTGAAGGCCTTGCGAATGTCCTTGGGATGAGGCCTCGCATGAGAGGCCTAGTTTTGGGAGGATGCGAGGGAGTATCAGAGCGAGGAGGATGGCGAGAGACAGTAAGAGAAGGAGGGCGATGCCATAGATGAGGATAGTCAAGGCCGTGATGACCAAAGCGTTTATGGTCTTATTGGTCGTCCGAGATCCTGTTGAATGCTCGACCTCGTCTTCGCTTTCATCGTGATCGAGTTGGGAGTACTTGGGTAAGGATGATACGCTTGACATGCTTAGATTGGCGGATTACCAGCGCTTGATGCGCGTTCGCGCATCGATTAAGAACATCAGGTATGTGAAATGCCTGCATATGAAATCCTTGATCATTGACGCTTGGTAGCAATGACCGGAAGTTCCAACTCTCGGAGGGTGTTCTCGGAGCGCGGGCGACACGTTCAAACGTTCAAACCCATGCCAACCCGGTGGAAACTCGCGGAGGCGTTGTCGATCTATTTTTTGGCACCAGTAGGGCACGGTAGAAACCGTCATCTTGTGGAGAAGAGTGGTTTGGCTATTCCTTAGCCACCTGGATATGTAAGCGCTTTTAATCTACACAGCTCCTGTGTCACAGCTTCCAAGGGTAGCTGAGCTCAGCACTGCATGTATCCGTCCCACCAGCTCCACACACGTGCGTACAGCGGCATAAGTTCTCGCCGCACATGGTTGTATGTGGCCGGTATCCCTCGCAGTCGCAGTCGGTCCTCACAAGGCGTATCCGGAGGGTAGTAAGATACGAGACGAGATACGAGCTTGGAAGCCTGCAATTGTTCCGTGATTCTGAAATCCGGTAGCAAGTCACATATACCTGCCGGGAATCTGTACGAGCTTGTAGCTTGTCTGTAGCTAATTTACGATGATGCTGTACGTACGTCCGTCCAGTAACGGCAAGTAAAGCGCTGAATGTGCGTCTGTGCTCCGGCGCTGCTAACTTAAACGGCAGTAACGTGTCCGTGCACCTTGTGCCCGGATTCATCTCATGCCCCGCGAACACCATCTTAGCGATCTCAAATTTGAAGCTGTACAACACCACACAATAGCTTAATATTAATAAAAACATAGCATTGCAGTAATTAGATACTTGCGATTAACTTGTACTATCTGAATTTTTGTGGGAGGTTGACGTTGCGGCCACGTGATGTGGTCTTTGGTGGTGGAGGCGATGGAGGAGATGCAACTCTATCGCGAGCTCTATCCTCCATCGCTCGTTTTTGACGCTTGTTCTTAGAAGAGGGCGCTCTTGAGGCTTTACGCTTGCGTTGTTGAGCTTGTTGGGTGGCTTTTTTCTGGTGTTGAGCTTCAACTTTGCGCGCGCGTTCAGCTGCTTTCTCAGCTCGCTCAAGCTCCCTTATCTCCTTGAGCCTCTGCCTCTCTACACGCTTCTCCTCGAGCTTAACTTGACGCTGCAGTTGAACCTCCTCACGCTGCTTCTTGGCCTGTGCTTTTTGGAGTTTCTCCTCTATCTTATCTCGCTCCCGTACTACTTCTCTAGCTCGAGCCTCGCGTATCTTGCGAGGAGACCAGAAGACAGAGCCACCGTGATACTCCTGGCGCTGTTGAAGGTCAAGAGCTTTGCCCTTCTTCTTATGCTTCTTTTTATGTTGAAGAGCCTCCTTTAAGCCCTCGTTCTCATGCTGTAAAAGCTTATACTGCACAGAGAGATGGTGAACGCTTGAGCGCAGCTTTCTTGCCTCATACTCAGACTCCGCAACAATCAATCGATTGACATGATTGATTCCTATATAGGTTAAAGAATTACTTCATTAGGCAGCCTTTAACCTAGATAGGAATCAATCATGCCGATCCGATTGATTGTTGCGGAGTCTGCTCATACTGATGGCTATCATTGACAGCAGCTCGTACTAACCGATCGAGCTTTCTCCAGTCATGATCAGAGAGCCCTGAAGATGAGCTTCTCTCAGCTTCTGGCGTGCTGGCAAATCTACGAAGGATAACGTTGGGATCTATTGGCAGAGATGTCAACAAGCAAGTCAAGCTGGCTTGATTCTTATCGATTGCAGATCACAGACCATTCTCTGGGACGTGCCACTGTGCACGAGCCTCTATATTGTCTGTGATCTGCAATCGATAAGAATCAAGCCAGCTTGACTTGCTTGTTGACATCTCTGTCTATTGGCCATATACCAGTAGCTTCAAACGCTTTTAATATAGTTGATTGCTTAAACGAGGCCTGCCAAGCTCTCCAGAAGAGTGGGAAGAAGTCTCCTTTCTTAATTGGAATGAGGCCTTGAGCCTTGTAGAGATGGTTAGTGAGCTCGTTGGAGTAGGCTTGAGAGAGTGGCTTGAACAGCACTACATCGAGCGGCTGGAGCGTATGAGTCGAATGGGGAGGAAGGATCATGAGGAGGATCCTATGGCGATCGCAGTACTTGATAAACTCCATCGTGAGGTGAGATCCATGGCCATCAAGGATGAGCAATCGCCATCTCCCTGATCGCTGCTTTGTATAGCGATCAAACACCTGCTCTAGCCAAGCTAGGCCTACGTCATTGTTTGACCAGCCTGTTAGAGATGATGAGACAAAGACCTCATGTTCTCCTGCCTTAATATCCTCCACCCAACTCGATCGTATGGCTCCATTTTTAGCTGCGTAGATAAGGGCTGGAGGCAGCGAGCTCCCATCGGCGCAGCAGCAGGCCAGGAGTGTCAGAAACTCGCGTGATCCATCCTGGAGAGTAGACTCCGCAACAATCAATTCAATCCGGTCACTCTCCTAGACCCACTTACCTATCTAGGTAGGGCTTAAACTCCTATAGGTAACTACTAGGCTTAAAGCGGTAATCAATCAATCCAATCTGAACCTTCTAGGACCCACTTAATTGATTGTTGCGGACTGTGCTGGAGAGATGCTCGAACCTCTTTCTTATCCCATTGACGCCTGCTAAATATCCTCTTACTCCTGCCTATCATACCAATAAGGAAGCCCTTTTCATCCATATTGTATATATCTCGAGCCTCTAGGTGGTATTCGGTGATCTTCTGGTGCAGCAGCTCGAAGTAGAGTCTATACTTTGACTCAGAATCAGCCAGGTGGCGCGTACGATCCATGGCGGTGGTCCACTTTGAGATAAGATAGATCTCGTGTCGGTTAATGAAGCGAGTAACCCAGCTCTCGCTGAGCTGCTGATGGGCTACTTCTGATGAGAAATTCCTGATCATCTCTCTTGTAGGAGGTAGGCCTTGCTTAGTGAGCTTAGTGATATATCGTACAAGCTCTAACTCTTGTTGTGGGCCGATAGCTTGCTGCTGAGCGTATCCATCGCTCCTAGGCCCTGTCACGCGCCTCCATCTTCGCCCTAGCGTTGAGCGGTTAACCCCCCATTTTTCAGCAACTTCTTTTAATGTGAATTTCTCTCCTGGATCGCGCGATTCTAAATCTGCAATCGCTTCATCAATCGGAGCCATAGTTGTGGAGTTATTGCGCGTCAAAGTTGTAGTATTGAGACACGCGTCGGTGTTCGGCGGGGCATGAGATGAATCCGGGCATGAGGTGCACGGACACGTTAGTTAGCTAGCTTAAGGCGTAGTCAGCGAATCCAACAACCAACTTGTGATCGACGCCACGCAGATCGCGCATCCAATCGTTGCCCCGATCTTTCTATCACGTGTCTTTGCTTTTTCCTGGTCGGTGATCGAGTTGTGTGCTCGAGCCCACCTGTGCATATGCCCCGATAGGATCTACTAATGTGACCGATGATCCATCGCTCCACGACATCAACCCCCGAAAGCTTACGAAGCTTGCGAAGCTTGCATGCAAAGCTTGTACTTAGGCTCATGAGACAGTTACATGCGCTAGAAGCCGCTGTCGAGAAGCCTTTTCTGATCCCAAGCGCATGTAATGCGACAAATGATCTTCGCAACAGAGGACAATCCCCCCGGTAGCGATCTAGTTTTACAGTACGAGTAGCCTATACAAGCATAGTGACCTCCCCAAGGTTACGGCACCTACCGAGTATGAAGGATTTTACCGAGCCCGTTGGTAGCAAAGGCAAGGTTCGCTAACGGCAAAAAGATGTGAAAGGCCCCGGCAATTCAATACATCTGCTTCTACGTTCTTCTATTCAATCATCGTCAGACGGAGAGGCCCCTGCCGCGTTCCAGATGTTGTCTCAACATGGGGTTAAGTTCTTATTTTGAAAACGCCCGACGATCATCCATATACCTCGCAATCTAGATGACATGCCGGCTTCGGTGTAACGTATCACGTAGTCAGATAGCTGACGAAATACTGTTGCTTCAGCTGGGAATGGCCTTCGCAATCTAGATGACATGCCGGCTTCGGTGTACCGTATCATGTAGTCAGATAGCTGACGAAATACTGTTGCTTCAGCTGGGAATGGCCTACGCAACCAGAGCAACCGAAGTCAACCCTGCAATCGCGTCATTGATTCATATCCAGCCCTCACCGCCTGCGGAGCGGCCTTATGCCAACATTCGTATGACCAACATCCCATATCGCTTTTGAATGTTATTACATTTATAAAGAACATACTAAGTACTTACCTCCACAATTAAGAACACACCCCCGTCATCTTCTATTGGCCATACTTTCATTCCATCAACGCAATGCAACCACACAAGATTGCCCGCAGCAAGATTAATTCGAAAGCATGTGATCAATGCTACAGATGTAAAGTAAAATGCACAATGGAGCCGAGCGGCTGTACGCGTTGTCGTATGACAGACGGTTTGTGCACATACAGCCTGGGCAAATGGATGGGTCGGCCAAAGAAGTCAAGTCGACAGACCTCACAAGCCAAATCCAGAGAGGCGATGAGTCCTGGCAATGTCTCTCCGGAGCCCGAAAGAAGCTATTCATGTAGTCTTTCTCCCACGTCGATCCTAGTAGATACGGTAGACTGACGCAAGCAGACCGGATAATGAACCTACAAGATGCAGAACGATGTTGGGAGCTGCTTCCATCCGCCATGGAGGAACCTATTCAATATCCTCTGGAACCTACGGCAGTATCACCATTTTCGATGGATGATTACGCTCAATTCAAGGCTGGAGGCTACTACACAAGCACCAATGAAAGTCAGAGCACTACGTCTTCTGATAAAAGAGCAAGCCCGAGGCGTATCTCTCATGATCGAACGCCAAGCAGAGAGTTGTCACATGGAGAAATGGATATGGTCAGCTCTGCATCGGTATGTTTATCCTCTACTGCATGCAGTGAAAGGCTAGGTCTGATGAGTGCTATAGATACGGGGTGACCAACAAGGCAATTTTCCCAAGCGTCGAGATGACTCATACCCATCACTGCAAATCCCGCAGAGTCTAGGTAGTCATACCGACTTTGATTTTGGGAATATGGGTATAGCGTTGACAAATTCCCCACGAGTTTCGTTGGCAGGCCCCATGGAGATGTAAGCGATATCGAAAATTCCCCACACAATCCCCAGAGTTCACACTGACAAGACTTGCAGCAACGCCGTTGACCACGCCCAAAGACCAGACGGCGGGCAAACATCTCCCATAATGCAAGATGAATTTACATCTCCAGTGGAAAAATCGTGTCACTGCAAATGCTCCCAATCTGCGTTGGCTTGTTTAGACAGGATCTCCACCGTGTCACCCGAAGCCCGCTACATTGACCGACTCGAAGCCATACAGTCGGCTCTCCTAACCGCAGAGAAGCTAGTGCTCTGCACCAATTGCCTTCCAAACATGATCATCGCAAAATGCTGCTTCGTCCTGGGAAATGCCCATGAGCTGGTGAGTGACATGAGCTCTGGATTGGAAGACACAACGAGCCCCACTACGGCAGCTACCCGCCAGTCAGTCGAATACGTCAGACGCGTCAAACGGCGCGCTACTATGCTTTTTGCGGGCTTGAAGATGTTGGAAGATCTGAGCCCTGGGGATTGGGGTCTCTCCAAAATGCAATCTGAGTTTTTGTCTGTACTAGCCAAATTCTGGGTGTCACTGCCAGAACATTGATGTCAAACAATACAGCCAGTCATCATCTGATCACTCAAGGAAAAGCAGCATGGTGCATTGTGTTTCTCTCATTCTATGGATCTGGGCTGTCGAATGAGGATCGTGGTTGTATACGGCTTTGACCATCCATACTGTGGGCGCTCTTGCTCAACTTTGTCGACTACCTGGAAATCATGATCTTGATACAGCTTGACACCCGGTGTCTTGGCGACTACTAGGGTCTTGAGTCCATTCCTATCCGCATATGCCAAACCCTCTGTGAGTAGCATGGAGCCGATGCCACGTCTCTGGTGCTCAGGGTGGGTGGCTAGGTAATCCAATGCTGTGAGGCAATTAGTCCAAGTAAACTCTGACTGTAGCAGCTAGGTACTGACCAAGAAACCTTTCGCCAGTACCCAGTACTTTAGCTTCTGCCTTTTCTATCGCCTCACTGAGCTCGTCTACGACCGGATGGTCCAGGCCCCGAATTTTACCATCTTCAGTTACACTCCGAAAGTCTTCTTTGTAAACTCGGCTACTTTCCGAGTCAATCTCAACCACAATACCCTCCGCCCACTCGTCAGTACATCCGTCCGGAATTATCCAGCGCGCATAGCCAACGATATCACCAGTAGCGTCCTCCACAACCTTACGATGCCGCTTGGTGGAAATAACCTTGACGAGGTTCCAGGGCAAACGCCTTGCACAATCAGAGATAATGCTATCCAGCGTTATGCCTTTCCAGAGCGAGGCCCAATGTGCATCTTGGTAGAAAGCGCGCATCATGGTTTCTGCAAGGCCGGCTGCATCAGCAGGCTTCACCGGTTGAATCGTGTAGATCTGGGGCGCGAGATTAAACGGGAAAGCCGGGGCTAGGGTGGGGAAACTTACCATTTTTGTCATGTCGCTATCAGACAACGAACGATCGTACGAGCTTTACATAAGGTGCTTGCTTCCGGACTTTGCCCATTTAGATGGTGAGGTGGTAGCGGGTGCCAGTCAGGGGTGTCGGCAGGGATCTTGCATGAATTGTCCCTTGTGCGAGTTTATGCTGCGATTGCCCACTTTTGCACGAAATGACAGTGCCTCTTTATGCTGCGATCCTTCGCCCTAAGTATAGTTACACGCCAAGCTGCGGTGTGTTTTTGGTGTCTTTGTTCGTTGACTTGGTCATCAGCCGAGAGCATACCCGGCTTGTACTTAGCTGTGTCGAACCGAGAATCCAGGCCCGAGTGCACATGAGCCGACTTGGCAGACCGGGGTCCGCTATGCTTGTTTCCGGCTCCGGACTTCTTTACATGCCTCCGGAAACTTCACGGTGCGGCAACAACACAACGGAGCGGCGTATTTTCGCCGCTGGAGGACGTAGTACGCCACAACTTTCGCCTCCAAGATTGATTACGATGGAATATATAGGAAGTCTCCTTGCATTTTCAGACTATCCAGTCAGGAAGTCGACAACCCAAACACTCCATACATCCAGTTGTGCTCAAACATAATTACCCCGCTTGTGAATCTTGGTGAAGATAACTCGCCGACATGTTGCCTGCAATCATGAGCAAAATGTCTCGCTGTAAGTATCCGAAACAACCCCCACCCTTCACCCCTACCACTCAACCAGGAGTTGCGGCAGGCTAACTAATCCAAGCCGCACCATCACTCAAATCAGGATACCAACGCCCACCATACAGCGGCAACGATGAAGACCGGCCTTTTCTCTCAGCTTCAGAAGAGAAGATGGACTACACATCACCAGCGCCCAGTACTCCGCGTTCACGGCTCTGTTCAGCCCTCCTTGTCGCATCCACATCCCTAACGCTCGGCCTCTTAGCCCTTATTCTCGTAGTAGCCCAGCGGCGCCACCCAGGAAGCACAGTATCACTATGGCCAACCTACCAAGGCGGATCACACGTCGTCGAGCACTGCGGCAACTCACCACAAGAAGCGCAGGAACAAGGCTGCATATGGGATCTCATGAGTTTCGGTTGGGTACACCCCCGCTGCTTCAAGCCCGACGAATCTCAGATTTTCCTTGAGAAGTACGGACCTTGGAAATGGTACTACGACCTGAACGCCACCCAGGAAATCGCCCCTGAAGACCTGACTACCACCGGTCGCGTCTACACTGAGCAGGGCTATCACGTTGTTCACTGCTTGTACATTTTCAAGCTTTTGCATCTGGCGGGTATGAATCAGCATATTGTGACGGACGAGGCTATCCCGCTGGCGCATACGCAACATTGTATAGACATGATTTCTTCACCAAAGTATACGGATTTCAAGCATATAAACACACGGGTGGATATGTTGTTTGCGCGATGCGTATCAATTGAGTAGAAAAATCGTCTCTCTTCCCTTATCGTCATATATATATATACATAGAAGGTTCACAAGTAATGTATACTCATCTGCCCAACTCCAGAGAGCGAGTGCCTCAAGCACAGCTTATTTCTATACCAGCAGCGAACAGTTCGCCTACACCGGGAATAAAAGTAGCAAGAGCCTTTGTGACAGTACCAGCCATACCACATCCCTCGTCCTTGGCTACTGCGTTGGCAGAGAAGTCGATGGTCAAAGTGTCCGCCAACAAAGCACCGTCGCGGTACAAGTTCGCCTTGATGGACGACGGTACCTTGTGTCCCCACGAATGGGTTTCGCACTGTGCGGTACCGAGGTCGCACATGCACTCTGGCCTGACAGTGGGGTTGGCTCCTCCGCACGCGTGTGGGCCAGGCCATTTGGGGATGGCCTCCTGCCACGTCAATCCGTAACAGTTCGAGAAGACATTGTAGCCAGTGCCCTTGGAGACCTCATCCAGCACCTTGCTGAGGGTTGAGACAAGGGCATCACGGGAGTCGTTGGGTCCGAGGTCGGGGATCTTGCCCCACTGGCCGTTGACTTTGACGCGGACATCGCGGTCGCCCTTAGAGTCCCAGGAACCGCATGAGCTGGCGTTTGTGGTGTAGGACGTATCGGAGAGGATGCTACGCCCGTTGCCGGCGGTGGAGTAGATCTTTTGCCATGTTTCGGCGAAGAGTTCAAGGTTGCCGACGTCGATCATTTCGTTGGAGTAGCGGACTTCGACTTGGATTTTGCTGGCCGCAGAGACGACGGCTGGGGCTAGGGCCATGGCGGCGAGAAGCATGTTGGATTGGAACTTCATTGTTGCGGATTGTGCTGCTGCGTTGTTAGTGAGAGTGTTTTTGGGATTTTGGGGCTATCAAGTGACATACGGATGCGGTTCAGATGTCGAGGTGGAGGTTTGTATCTTAAAGAAAAAGACACCAGGTCAAAGAGAAAGTGAATGTAAAGTTGAGGAAGATCGTTAGAGACTGTTTGGTGCGAACTGTACTTCAGTCGATGCCCTTCTCCAGACCGCAACCACGCCCTCTCTTATACCACAACCGTCGGTCAATCGCGAAGTTGCCATGTCTCCAGAATAAGACCGATGTATTTAAATCGCATCATAGTTACTTGACTTATTAGGAGATATGACGTATAGTTGGTCCTGTGTATATGGGGTTCGTCTTGGCAACGTGCCGGAACCCTTGAAACCCTATACTAAGCCACACTCCTGTCTCACCACCTTGCGCACGTGCTTAAGCTGTCACAGTTTCATAGCCATAAACATGGTTCTATTAATATAATTTTAATGTATCGATCCTTCACAACGGTGTAAACAATTTAACTACCCATTCAGGTAGTTCTTGGTAGCGATCGTCCAAGCATGTACTCCCTGTAGTATCCCATCCTATTGGGAGAGTGTATCGAGTTGTTAGTCATAAGATCGTGAAAGTGGGTTGTCGCTGTCAACTGCTTAGGGTCGTTGGCAACAGTACCTTCGGGTGGCCGCTGGGTTGACGGTACTATCGTATCATGAAGCACGGTGTTGTTTCTTTGTTCTACGTACTGCACTTGTTTCTATCGCATCGCTGCCATGTGGTTGGCGACCCTCAGGAGATTGCGGGTGGCGGCATGATCATAACTGGTTGCTGTTATAGTTTGTTTCATCCTTTCGTCTGTTCTTACTCCATTGATCACCACTAGCATCAAGGCTTTGATCGTTCCATTGCGTAGCATGCATAGCCCATAATCTCTCAGCCTTGCATTTGGGTACTTGGGCGACAAACAATTTCTGCTTCGCATGTGGATTCTCACTACCATGGTACTCTTGTTGAGTTGAGATCCAAGGTTGAGATCTAATTAAGCCAAGGCTTCGTTCTACGTGTGACGCATTTGGGTTTGAATGCTTAGTTGTGCGCTTAGTTAGGTGCTTAGGGGACAAAAAATTCCGACCTCGCACTTTGATTTGCACCACCATAGTACTCATCCGCAGGCAACGCAAAAATTTCGCTCTTGGAGGAAAAAAAAGAAAAAAGACTTTACATCTACAAATCGACCCTCCTCCGATATTAACCTCCTCCGGTAAACTTGATTGGTACCGGTTCACGGATGTATCGGGTAGTATCGTTTCAGATTTCGAAGCAGGGGTCATCTGGGTACTCCCGGTGATTGGACGATCACTGGCTAGCTTGATTCGCATTAATCCGCATAAACCAGGCCATCCTTGGCGGGTTACACTGTACCTAGTCTTTATCCTGTTCTAACTCCTTAGTACTTTGAACACAAATGGTGCCTGACGAAAACTGAAGCCCACTGTATCCAATACTTTCGGTCCTACTCTCCCCCGCGCGCTCCTTAACTCGACTCCTTCATTTCGATAGTCTTGGAAACGTTTTTTTATCTAGACCGGGGGGAGGAGGGACGGCGGGGTGCTAAGACAGCAAGGTTTGGCAGCTGGAGTTTCACTCAATGCTCGGATCAGATATGCTGATCAATCAAAGAATCTCAAACTTGAAAGCGAACTTGATTCATTCTCGAAATTCTTTGTCTGGGTTGAATTAATTGATAGGTCATTAAATACATGAAATTGAGTCGCTGGTCAACTATGACAGTTGTACATCTAAATTGGGTGTGACACAATCCCAGGTGCATCGTCAGTTGGCAGTTTTTCGAACCTTCTTCATGCTAATTATTATTATTATTATTATTCCATTTAAGTCCTTTTTCAGTCAGAGACTATGTAGGACTGGGCCGGAGGCCGTTCTATCTGGTTTTGTTTATCGTACATTTTGGGTGTTTGTTTGGCTATGGCAGTTTAGGCTTGCTTCTAGCTAGACTCGGTGTCTAGCTGGTGCCTGGTGCTAAAGAGCAGTTTGGTGAATAGAAAGAGATGTATCAGCGGGCTCTTATGGCAAAGGAGAAGGCAGTGTTTTTAGTTTTATACAGTGTCTCTCTGTGTGTCGTCTGTTAGCTGTCCTTGGTACCATTTTCTTGTTCCTATTCTAGTGCTAGTAATAAAAGCTAAAGTAGCTTCTATACCGGCGCTAGTATAGAGAAGTAGTAGTAGAGTAGCTGGTTAGTGATTAATTGCTTGTATGAGAGTTTTTCTTTCTGTTTTGTATAGAGAGCATTGTAAAAGTAGGTGCTCTGGTGTTTAGGTGTGCGAGCAGCTGCAGAGATTAGATTCTATTTTCTTGAATCTCTTTAAATAGGACCTAAAGTATCCGTGTCCTATTTTAAGAGCATAGAAGGCGCTAGAGATTTCTCGATTGGTGCTGCGTGGTATTTGGATGTGAAGGTCGTCCGAAGATGATCTTGGGTTGGTTCTCGGGGATAGAGTGATGCGATGGACACGAGGGTGTATAGCACGATTGGTAGATCGATGTAATATACGGGGAGTTGAGAATCAAGTACTAATCCTTAGATTTCAAAGTTGAACACAATGAACCGTAAGGGCTCATTGCCTATTGTTATATACTAACGAATGTCCCTATGTCCTATACGTCCTACGTTGTCCTACACTGTCCCATGCGTGGGACATCGTGGTACATCGTGGGATTCCTTGGGACACACGTGACATGTCCCATGGTGGCGTTCCGCCAAGCTTTGTGGGATGCGGGGCAGGCTTACGTCATTGGTCCTTGTACACCTTTGTACGCCTTTGTCTGAGAAGGGATTCCGACAAGGTCTCCATCCTTCTGCCCTTCATATCTTGCACTGTGTCCTCTCCTTAGGTTCGTAACATTGGATTGTTTTTTGGATTTTGAGTGGGAATTTTGCTGAGTAGGTCTTTTTGTTTAGATTAGTTGCTCTTGTTTTGTATTTTTGGTACTCTTGGCATTGTTCGGTTTGTTCGATCTTTTTAATAACAGTGCCTAGGTAGGCAATGCTTTTTGTTGATGATTGTGGGACTTCTTTAGTAGCTTCTTTTGCAAGGTAGTCTGCTCTTTTATTCCCTACTATGTCTGTGTGTCCGGGTGCCCACAGTAAGTGGATAGTAGCCTGTTTTTGTCGGATTGTTTTTGCTGCTTTTAGGCATCGTAGTTGCCATTGTTGTCCTAGGTTATCTAATAGGTTTTTAAGCCTATAGATTGCTGCCTAATTGTCTGCGTAGATCTCGAATTCTTAGTCTCTTGTAGCTGTCTTTGCTGCGTATTTAAAAGCTAGAGTAATGCCTTCTAGTTCACCGTTGTAAACTAGTTAGTATTCCCCTATATTGGTCTTTTCTGAGTAGATCTCTTGCTAGGTTGAGTTGTAGGCTACGATGCCAACACCTATACTATTTTTATCTTTTATTTGTGAGGCGTCTGAGTAGATTGTAGTGCAGTTATCTAGCCTAGTTTTAATGTAGGCCTTATACTCAATTGCTTCCTCTTCCTTGCGTTTTTGTGAGATTGTTATTTTGTAGTTAGGCGTATCCTATGGTCTAAACCGGTATAGGATAGTCTGTTCTGTATCTCTTTTGTTATTTTTAGGAATTAATTCGATAATAGCTTGTAGCTGTTAGTGTTGGTCTAGCTTTTTTGTTTGTTAGGGGTTTGTTGATTGTATCCAGGTTATTGCATTAGCAATTGGGTGGGTACTAGCGAGCAGGTTTGCTCTTCTTGCGTAGTTCTAGATAGTTGTGTTAAGTCTAATTGCTAGTGGCGGTAGGCTAGCTTCTATGCTTGTTGGAACGGCTAGTGCGGTTCTAAACACTCCTAGAATCTTCCGGCATGCTAGGTTATGTAGTGATTGTAGTATTAATGTGGCGTATAATTAGTTTTGCTAGTAGATTTGCGCTCCGTAGTCTGACACGCTGGTTACACATGCTAGATATAGTTGCCGGATAGCATGTGTTGATAGGCCGAGTTCAATGTTCGCTAGTCTTCCTAGTCTGTAGAAAGCTTGTCTAGCTTGGCTTGCACGTATAGACACATGTGATTTGAATGATAGACGGTTGTCTAGATAGATACCTAGCCACTTTACAGTGTCTTTGTGTTCTACCCGGTCGTTGTTTGGGAGTATGAGGGCTCTTTCTATCCTCTCCTTCTTAGCGGTGAAGTGGATTAGCTCTGTTTTGGATGTGTCGAAGATAATGTCTAGCTGCTCTCCCTTAGCGAAGAGTGTAGCTATCTCTTTTTGCAGTGCTCTTATGTTTTTCTTTAGAGAGGTTGATGAGGTAGTAAGAGATAGGTCGTCGATATACGATAGTTGAAAGCTTTGTAAGGCTGGGAATAGGTCTCGGATATAGATAAGAAAGAAGATTGGTGATACTGGGCTGCCCTGTGGAATGCCTGCTATAATCCTTCATGCTAAGAACGGTGTGGAACGATAAGATACAGTGATTTGCGGCCGCGGGAGATGGAAAAAAGGAGTCAAACACCCCAAGTCTCTATGAAATAGGTCATGCATGTAAGGTCAGTATGAAAAATCTCGGTGGAGCTCTCGTCTCATCCATTTATGTATCCTATGAAGATAGGTTAGTCTGTACTGCAATACGATATATTCCAGACAGACTCCGCAACAATCAATCGGATCGGCATGATTGATTCCTATCTAGGTTAAAGGCTGCCTAATGAAGTAATTCTTTAACCTATATAGGAATCAATCATGTCAATCGATTGATTGTTGCGGAGTCTGATTCCAGATGAGATGACATACCCGATACTGCGACTGGTCGCGGTTGGCGGTTCAATAGCGCGGTACTGTCAAGCGTCAAGGTTGGGGAGAATCATGTCGTATTAGAGCTGTTAGAAAGAGGTCTATATACGCAGTGGGAAGAGGGAGTGAAGGAGCTAGGCCGTAAAGGTACTAGCGGGTAAATGGGTGGCTGCCTGG